GCCAAGGAGCTCAACATCGATGTGCTGCTGGCTTTGACGTGCATGGCCAGTGGCTTCTCGTGGCCCGTGGCAGCATGGCAGGAGATTGTGAACGGCGAGATGACCGTGCCCAGCGACCAGATCCACAACGCCGGGCCATGGAACCAGACCTGAAGAAGGATGGTGTGTGAGTGGCATTGGCTGTGCTTTTTAAAGGGCTGAAAAAAGGAAGATGCTGCCAAATTGCAACACCCATCGGGTTTGAACATTTGCGCGTGCTGGCGAGTTAGTTTTAGGGAACAGCGGGACAGGTTCAAGCTACATGTTGCAGTGTCTTGCCCAGTACTTCGTCTACAGTCGTATGTTGCATTCCAGATTCAGACATATAGATGCCGGGCATAACTTTTTGCCACAGTCCACTAGACATTGACAGATTTAGATTACAGAAGCCAGTGCAATGGTGGCCAGGGAACCATTGCCACAGCCTCAAATGCTTTTTAATTCCTGCAAGCAGTGGCGGCCAGTGTCAGCTAACAGCCCCAGGCACCAGACTCCAAAGATGCGGCCGGCTCGATGTGGTGCCTCGACTTGACACTGGGTCTGTGTCAAGGTCAAACTGGCTCTTAATATTGTGTCGAGCTTCTTTTGCATGCTGGATGTTTGTAGCTCCATCTGATGAGGATTGTCTTTTGCAAGCCATTGACAAGCCCAGGTGCACGAAGCGGGAAAGCAACCATATCGCAAAGAAGTCCAGCTGCTTCTGTGTGGTCATCTCTAAGTGTTGTGAGATGCTAGCAGTTTGCGTTATTCGGCTATCTGAGGCACCGGACATTTGTGCTGCTTTGGTTGCGGAGCTGCTTGTTGTACTGAACTCGGTTTTATTTCTTCTTGACGCTCTCAGCCTTGAGCTGAAACCATTCCGGCGCCATATTCAAGTAGAATCTGCAGCCTTCACTGACCGCACATTTGATTGGCGTCAGGCTTCATTACTGCTTGCATTGCTTGCCTAACACAGTTTTGAGTGTACTGCAGCATTTGCTGTAGGCAGACCGGCCTGGTCTGGACAGGTTAGCCTTTGTAGATCCGCTTGTGCAACGCCACTCGCCCGACGCCCGATCCGCAGTTCCGCTGACGTTCCACTGACGGGCATCCATCGTGAGCTGTGCATAGGCATGTCGCTGTCAGAATTTGAAACTTGTGGAAACTTGTAGCTTCTGGCAGACGTTGCCTGGGTTCAAACTCGTGTACATATCCTGCGCCCGGCGCACATCCCGGAGCCAAGGACTGCACTTTGCAGTGTGCACAGTGCACATGGCCTGCCGTGCTGAGCTGAGTTGAGTTGGAGAGTTGGATACCCGAGTGCGTGCAGCGATGCGTACAGCAATCGTTTTGAGAAGAAGGACATTTTTGCGTTCGCTGCAAGGTGCCTTCTCAGCATTGCTGGTAGCCCCTTGGCCCGCTATGCTTCACCTGCATGAGATGTCTAGGCAAGCAGCGGCAAGTAGGTTGTGCGATCTCCCTTTTCAATTTTGCACCGTGCCTGCTTTGAAAGTATTGATGCTAGAGCCCGCCGCCTCGGCCTGGGCGGTCCGCTGACCTTAGGCACGCCTCTGACGCTGCCAGACCCGTACTGCGGCGGCATGCAGCGTCTGAAATTAAAAAGTCAGCGCTGTTGAGACCACCACCGCGCTGGGCCACTGCGTCATCTCTAAAGCTCAACTCCGGCCTTAAACCTGAGCCACGCAGCCGATTTGACCCTGCAAGCCTGATCGACCCTGCAAGCTTGACCGCCACCTGAACCAAAAATCTGGCACCCGAACATTCCGAAAGACTGAAAGCCTCAACTTCTAAGCCTTGCTACACGTATTCTCGCCTTCGCTTTCAGAGGAAAGGCAAAGGGGGGCCAAGTTTTGAGTCCATATTCCAGGGTGTCCCAGATGGAAGTCGTGGCTACACGACATGCAGGGAGGGAGGGCAGTGGGCGCCGAACGCCCATGTCCTGGGACTTCGGCGGATTTCGACAGATGGGTTTTCGAAGATGTTGAGGGCAGCAAGCGCAGTTTTACAAAGTGCTGACTCAGCAGTTGTCGCTTTGCCCTTGATTCATTGATGTTTCCTTAGATTCGTGCACTAGACTTGTTGACGAAGGTTGCAGGCGCTGCATGCGCTGCAGCCCAGGACAGTCATGTCAGGATTGAGAGTGCAGGGTCATCTTTGGTCGTAGTTGCCACCGTGAAAACTTGCAGAGGGCTTCAATTGCCTTTGCCTCTTCGACGTGGATCGAACACTAACTGGAAAGCAAGACTTGACAAGCCCGAACTGTGCGAAGCTCAGTGCATGTGTCCTGGACTGTACATGTGCTTGGACTTGCTGGGCCGAGCAGACACTAATGCTGAGGCACACAGAATGAAGTACTGCCTGGTGTCAAGGCTGCTCAGTACGGTACCAGCCAATGATGCTAGTGGAGGGTGCACGTGTCACGGGAAGCAAGAGTGGGACGTCGCATGGTTGGGGCTGGAATTGGCCCATATGAGGGCAGCTCATCGCTGATTGGCAGGACACGGCGTATGGTGGTGGGGACCTGACGCTATCACAGGCCTGCTGGAGTCCTGCTGGTAAAAAGAGGTTGTATGAAGTGTAGGATTTTGTTCTACCTCATCCATCGGCAGCTAACAAGTGATAATACTGTTGAGAGCATTGTCGAGTCGTTTTCTGATTTGATTGCGCTTCTGTGACGACAGGATCGGCACATTGTAGATAGATCTCAGATGCAGGCTCTTCATGAGTTGGGAGACAGCTCTTGACAAGCCCCGGCTCTTTAAACAAATAGGTCTGCTTGATGTAATTCTTACGCATTGCCAGCACAGAAGCAGGTTGGCCAGTCTTTGATGGACACTGTGTGCGCCAGCCGCGGGTGTTTTGTCGGCATTGTCACGGCTGGGGATGTCAGCGGAGCCAACAGCAAGGACAGATGAAAGTGCTTTTCGCTCCTGCTGCATATGTTCATATGCTCGTCAGTTTTCAAACGAAAAGTTACAGCGAACAATTCTCAGCAGCGCAGCTTCCAATTGCCATTGTGTCGAACTTGCCGTTGCCAGAAGTGGCTGCATTTTCTTGTGCTTGTGCTGATGCTGCTGCTCCGACTGAGTGCAGGAGCGTTCGATTCTTGTACAACATTTGCAGTCATCAGGTGCCATGCCAGCTGTTTCTGTCTGCATTTGGCTGCTTGAGATTCTGAAGGCAAACTGCCAGTTTCAGAGTGGCGGGAAGCTCGATGATAGAACCATCAAGTGAGCTCAAGTTTCGTTTTTGTTTGTTGAAAGGTCTGGGCCCTCCAAATCTGGCGAAGCTCGCCGCGCATGCACTCCCCAGGCGGGGTGTGGTTGGTGTGCGGACATGGCTGGATACCAAGACGGATTTTGGCAGGATGCTCAGTCTACGCTTGTCACAGGCAATGGGTTGCTGTTTGCTCTGACCGCTTGAACAAGTCTATCTTTTGTGATCACAGCGGTGCCATCTCTGCTCTGCAGGATGCCTTGATGGTACAAAGCAGGAGGCCGCGAAGGGTATCCTGACTTGGTCATGACCTCAGCATTGCCTGCTGTTCCGTACCTTTATCTTGACTGCGCAGTACACTACGTGGGTCCAAGGCTATCAACACGCGGTGTTGGAATTCTCCCGTCGAACGTATGGCTTTTTGACGACCGCTCCAACAATGTCGTCCCCTTTCGAGGAACTGGCATGAATGCCAAGCAGATATCCTGTGCTACAAGGCCAGCCTCAACCGCTGGAGCAAGCACAGGGAAGTATGCATTAAACTAGCCTCGCTGATTGGTCTGATGGAAATACGCTGGCTGTCCTCCCGGGAGCATTCAAGCTATGCCAGGGATCCACGTAACGGAACTGGCGTATGTGGCGCGACTCCGCAGGCCGTCTCTTGAAGTTGCTGTAAAAATTGTTGGTGGTTAAAACAGGCCTACCAGAGCTTAAGCGCAAAGGCAGACCTGTGACGCCCCAGGAGATTCTGCTACAACCGGGGGTGTCCCTTTGTGGCCACGAGGAGGACCAAGTGGTCGTATGAGAATCTCGACGCTTTGGAGCAAACATTTTGCACGATTGCGCCATGCTGTCGCAAAGCGCCACCATGTGCCGCAGTACGACCGTATCACCTCTTCTCTTGGCAGTTGCCTGGGCAGTTTGTGCCCTGCAAACACCCTGTCACGGATGGCTAGCGTTCTTGACAAGTCGAAGTCTGGCATGTCCACGAGAAGAGGGGTGCTGGCGGACGTAAGCCAGGCAGCATGCTTGGGCTGTCTGTGTCTAACAAAGAGTCAAAGCGAAGCAGTTGGCCCATGTTGGCAGCTCAACCATTGTTCTCGTATTTCTCAGTCTTAGTGTCTAAGGCCTCACCACGCAGCCGACCACAGCGCCTGCGAGATGCTGAGCTTCATGTTTTAGACAATTAATTTCATCAGATCCCCAGTTTGTTGCAGATTGTCCCGGAGCGCTTGCAGCCATGATCATGCCAGGGAAAACTCACCGGGCTCATGTGAGCAAAGGACTCAGGCCGGGTGATTGGCAAAGTAGCTTTGGTATTGTTTGCAGGTTTGTTGCAACCGGCTGTTGCATATTTCATGAACCACCACCTGCAAAGCTTCGACGCAGTGATTGCTCAAGAGCAAAGTGCAGTCCTGTCTGTTTCCAACTTGCCCGAGGAAGGACAGAATGTAACATGTCAAGCTGATGGGATTGCACATGCCAGTATAGAGATTCTCCTGGACACCAGGAACTGTTCGCGAATCATGGCAACCTGTCTGTGAAATTGATGTTGAGGTGCTGTGACAACGTTGTGCATGTCCGCCGCGGTGTGTCGTGACTGTGCTGTAATTGATGCTGAGGATGTCGGGAAAGCTGAATCAGCATCTGCTGCGCCGGCAGACCGCCTGACAAAGCTACCCGTTCGCTGCTGCATCCTTACTACATTTGACCTGTTCGAAGAACAGCGCAGCTGGTTCAACAGGATTGCACGGAGAAGCACGGGGAGAGGAGAGGGGAGCGAACTGGACGGTCATAATGGATGTTTTATGCATGCACTCATGGAATCATCAGCATGAGCTTCCATCTCTACCCAGCTTTTTACATGTTGAAATCCTGTAGATACTCTGACAATGTGACATCCATTGGAGGCACATACATGCACAAACTATTCAACGACTAGTTACAATATTTGTGAGTTCTTTGTTGCGTGGGTGAGGCACCTCCGCCAGAGCCTCCCAGGCTTTTGAGTCTTTTGTTGTCAATTCTGTCTACCAACATCTACCTCCATTTTCGACTTTCATGGCTATCCCTACGGGCTGCCGTCTGTCACTCTGTGACACCTTTGATCTTGGTCTTGCTTTTGCACTGCGATGACCACCATCATCATCATCAGAATTATGAACAGCATCTGCTGTACATTATGTGTTGCAAGTTGCCACATAGTACACTTCCAATCATCAAATATTTCATGTGCATCACCATCATCACCAGCAGCACAGCAAGCCTCGGTGGTACCAGCACTCTGCTCATCAGCGTCAGTGTAGCCCTGCGTCGTTGTTGTCCTGTAAATTACGTTCATCACTATGGCGCATTTGAGAGTATTGTCTTTCACCGCGGTGATGGAATCATATCGCCTCAGCATCAGCCTCATGATAATGACGGCTGCTATTGCCACAATCACCTCAAGGTAAGCTGAGGCATTCCCGCGCCTCCTCCTGCTGTTCCTCCTTCCCTTTGACCTCCTGCTCCTCCTCAGGCGGTGCATATGATTATCATCATCAACATCATCTCACCCATGATTTCAAATTTTTTAAGCGCTTACATTTAAGACAAGCAGCGACTGAGGTCCTAGCGGTGAGAAACGGGGCCCCTCGATGCCAATGATGATGGCGAGGGAGGCTACCTGTAGCATCATCAGCATCACATAGCATCGTTAGGTCTCTTTTACTCCCTCCTGGCTTCTGATCCCCATGACTTGAGCGTGCTGAGTGCTGTGTGGGGAAGTCGCCTTGACCGTGCGCGCTGCCCGTCAGGCCGAGGTTGGCGGATCACCATCTTCCGTCCCCCCGTTGCATCATTCTCGTTCACGTCTTCGTCCTTCTCTTTTTTCGGTACCACCCTGCTTACCATCATGACTAAACCCTACTGAATTTTGTATCTTCGTATCATGTTGCATGCATCATCATGACCTCCTGCTACTGTTTTTCATGCGAGTCATCTGCAAGCGGCCATCAACCATTTGTTTTTCCATGTGCTTGAGCGCAACGCAGCCACGCGTGCTCCTGCTGGCTCTCATACTCGGCTTTCTTCTCAAGCAATTGCATTTGCCGGCTGCTGCAATCTAGAAGGGATGGCCTTCCAAAGCAGATTGGGATCCGCATGAAAAATGTACAGAGGCGACAGACGCGGATCTGACTCCAGTCCAAAGGCGGGGAAGTTGAGATGAGGTTTTTCAGATGTCTACGTGTGCTGTTCACGTGTACTTTTAGCCCATCATTAAAGCCACGAACGAACCTACACATGAGCTCTGAACTTGAGCCCTCAAGGCGGCTTTCCATTTTAAGACCTGAGGCAGATTATCAAACAACACTGCCTCATGCATGTAGTAAACTCCAACCAGGCTTGGAAGCCGCAGCGGGTTAACGTCTTGACACCCACGCCGGGAACACGGTTCAAAGTGCCTCGAAGGGCTTGCAACCACTCGACAGCTGGACAGGTCGTTCCGAGCTACCCTGGATCGCGCTAAGGTGTTTTTCGGGGCTGCAGCGTTTGAAGCTGGGACAGAAGGCCTGTGGCAGACGGTGTGCCGTATCATGACGTGACATGATATGACAACCCACACTGCAGAACCAGACGAAGAACACAAAGATGAATGATGGCAGACAGCCATATGAGCCTGCAGATTTTGTCACTTGATATCCTGGAGCTGCTCTTACAGAAGTGCTAAGGCAGACAGTGATGTCATTCGGAGTTATTTCAGAAGAAGGCATGCAAAAAGTCATCCCACGAGTATCCGCTCAGAAAAGGTGATTACATCGGTCGCGGAACTAGTTACGGTGTCTCATTTCAATTCTGCTGTGTCTTCTGCCGCGCGCCTCAGGCGCGCAGGTGTCTTCATGGCTGGGCTTATCTCCTGCAGTTCAATATGACTTGCAGGAAACTGGTAATTGCTTCTAGCCTGCTGCAAGACACATTTCCGTTTAACAGCCCTCTGCAAATGCGTTGAAGGTATACCTTGCAATTCATCTGCGCTTTTCGGGTCGCAGAGCCTTGTTTAAGCTGACTACAGCAGCAGCAGCAGGCCCAATGGCAGGAGGTCATTGGCTGCATGGGCACGTCCAAGGGCCACAAATGCTCTGCGACACCAAGTCGACAGATGATTGCTGAAGCTAATTCACTCACTTGAGCAAGTAAATTCTGCTGTCATTACTCATGGACAGGAGCCCCAAGGCCGCGCCGATTCTTGGAGCTCGTGCCTTGGAGCTTTGCACATTCGGTCCCTGTTCCTGCTTGTGGTAGTAGCTCAATACACAGGTGAGACCCAATCCTCTGCCGCGAGCCTATGCGCGTTCCATGAACTACTGCTCTGCTCAAGAAGCCTTGATTTGCATGAGGATATAGCTCTGGAGCTGGAGCTAGAAGACATTGCTCGGCTGCGCGAGCGTCTAGGCAGTGCAGCCTTGTGAGCTCCTCTGAATGTTATAAGCTTGTCGGCATGAAATCGCAACTCCCCATGCTCGGGATGCAGGCGATACCATTTCCACTCAGGAAGTGCTGGCTCAGCAGGTGGGACTCTGACATTGTTCAACGCCTGCTTCGCTGCACTTGCACAGTCCGTTCACACTCAACATGATGGACGCTGTCCAAATGGTACTGTATGTGATCAAGTCGACGCGACGACTGAATACAAAGTACAGGTCCGACCATTCCAGAAAGGTGCCGTTGTGGGGGAGCCAAGGATTGCTGCGCCATGTGCGGCTGCTACAGGTCCTGGTGTAAGGATGATTTATTTTGAGGCAGCACGTCACCCACGCCAAGCCACGACCTCAATCAGCTGAAGAGCAATTTGTTGTCTTCCCTTCAGCTGTGCACTTGTGGCAGATACACAGGATGGGCAAAAGCCAGCAAGGAAGCGTCCGGATTCTCGACGAGCTGCATCTGACAAGTTTGTGCTCTCTGCCCTGCATGACCGTTTCTATCCGAACCCCGAGCCAAGCTGTTGCGCTTCTGAAGCCTTCTGCCAGGCAAGTGGAGTGTCACCTGGCACCACACAAGCTATTTTGATCGTTCCAAACATGCGTGATGATATGTGAAAGCAATGAGAACCGTGCGACAGGTCTCTGCCTTCAGTGGCTGTTCTACCGAAGGCTTTTGGCTTGCAGGCAAGTTTCAGTGCGCCATGTCTCATTGGAATTGGAATCATCAGAGGACAAGCTGACACGGCCTACACCATGACAGTTTGTGATCATGTGTTCTGAAGAGATCACCGTGCCAGAAATGCAGGCGAGAAAGGCAATTGACCGAGTGGGGCGGGGCTCGCATCTTACTGGGTTTGGGCTCCGTTTGGCTCATCTAGTTTCGGCACAGTTGCTTCCAGCAAGCTTGGATTGCCTGCAGCTTTGAGGAGTCTGAAACACCTCCGCCACAAAATTATGCTGTGCAGAGAAAGGGGTTACGGCACCGCTGTCGTCCCTTGACAATTTTGGGGCCTTGTCGCCATTGCAGCTTGGTGTCTTGCTTGAACCATCTTTGATTATTGTGCAGCTTGTGACATGTGCATAGATATCGTAGCAGCTGGAGTTCTGGCCCGGATCTGGCCTTGCAAGCGGTTCTGGCAAGCAATGACATCGGCGTTCTGTGGATCCGGCGCAATGCTTCGGTCTCCATGATAATTCATGCAACAGCTGCATGTGTTCCAAAGCCTGCCACATTGAGCGCTTGGAAAATGCAGTTGAGGTGCACAGCTGCTCAAACTGAACGTTTGCAAAGGGGGCCAGTACTGTCACACTCAGTCCTGGCTACTATCGAATTAAGGCGGAGTAACTAATTTCATCACTTTCGTGCACGGCAGCAGCAGATTGCGTGCAAAGGCCTTCCTTGGCCAGTTTTTGTTCTTGAGTTGCGCTCCCAAACGAAGTATCCTGACAGTTTTGCAAGGGGATTTCCAACCTGAAATTGAGATAGACTTGGGCTTAGTCTTAGGCTCGAGGGCCTGGGCTTGCGTGTTTCTTGGGCGAAGTGTGCCTCATACTGCGCCTACCACGTTGATAGACCAAAACGCAGGGCGTCACAAGCATGCCGAGAATCTTTTCGAAACGTATAGCAGCTGATGAGATAGAAGGCTCTAAAGGCTTCTTCCACGCTGTGTTCGATCTGGGGAACGAACCAAAGCGTGACAGCAGCCGTGGGCAACTTCATTTTTGAACGCTTTGGAGCCTGTCACTGCATGAAGCTGGTGACCTTGGACAGAGTGGCCCACAAATAAGCGTGTTAACGGCAAGCGGTCGACAATGATCTTAGCCTCTCGTGCAAAAAAGCTGATAGTGTTTCCGGCTTGTCTAATAGCTTTCTAGGCATGAAGGGATGCTTCCTAGAATGTTTGAGTATGAAACAAGTTGTTCCATACCCCGATCCTTAGGGTAAGGATCAACCCTCATGGATTAAAAATGGTTCGAGTGACTCGAGTGGCTAAGCAAAGGCTGGGATCTTTAGCAACCAGCGAGCATCAACAGTCGCCTGCTTGTGAAATCTAAATGAAAGTCAATGTGGTTCGGGTGCAGAAGTTTGGGAAAGGCATCAACACCCCGAAGTGTGCCAACACCGTATCACAGCACATCTGCAATCCGGCATCAGCATGTTCTCATTGGCCTGTCCAACGCGGCCCAGCATCTTGGAGGCTGCGACTTTTGGCCTACATCCTTGGTTCCTTTCTTCGATTATACGTTTTTTGCTGCAGTTGGATCGACTGGCGTTTTGATCCTAGAGTGTTTAATTATCTGTGACACCAAGCTGGCTCTTTTAACAGTGTTATACTTCAAGTTTAGACTTGAAGACAGCCGCACAAACTGTTGACCATTTAAATTGTTTCGGGCTGGAGGTGCAGCGCGCCTTGTGGGCACCACGCCCTATTCTCACCAGCCAGAAGGCCAGATCTATGGATTCTCCATTGCTTTACATCTCCTCATGAGAGTAGCCTTTGCAAGGTACGGTGCCCATGGCGGCCAGTGATGCCATTGGCGGTCTCTTTCGTTCCTTTGGTTGCCCGTCTCGGGAGACTAGAACGGGATGAGAGGATTCTTGCAATACAGGGAGCCTAACGCCAGGAAACGCAAAGGCTCCATGATTAATTGTATAATGGTGCCTAAGTTGAGTAGACTAGGAAGTACCCGCAAACAGACGAAGAGACCACTTGCCTGTTTCGCAGCCAGCTTTTCTGGGGCTTGGAAGTTCCACTCATGCAAGCGATATCAAAGCGCATGCAAAGTGCAGGCTATGAAGCTTCGATCACAGGCGGCCTCCACCACGCACACCGCCCGCCCGCTTGGAGAGTTCCAGGCAGGAAGTCACAGTTGCTGGAGAAGGGGCCGTACTTGAGACATCCAAGTGATAGGTGTCCTGAATGAGTCTCCTTGGTCACCAGTGCACAGCTAGTGACAAGTCGAATGCCGTTACTTACCGCCACATGCTGCCCGCGCGGCAGCTTCTTGATTTTGTTTCGTTCTTGTCATGAGATAAGGGCTTTCACACGAGACGCATCGAGACGCCCTTTCAAGAAAACTGTTGCAATGTCTCATCTCCGAAGTTTCTCGGCACCTGGTTCTGTCTTTCTACGAAGAGGGCTCTTCAGACCTCATCGCCAGAGATTATGCCTGCCTCATCACGCCAGGTTGGGGAGGCTGTGGAGGGGACCGTTGTGCAGATCTACTGTCCTGGCGGCATTTCGGTGGATGTGGGCTGCTCCGACGTGTTTGCTTTCATCGAGGTTGAGGCCCATGGATGCTGTCATGTGCGAGCCTGGCGATGCTTTGTGGTCTTCAAAAGCCTAGTGAAAGGAGTTTGCGGATGGCTGGCCTCAGAACGGCCCATTCCAGTACAAGCCTGGAGATCGGATTTCTGCGCGTGTGTTAGATGTTAATCCGCAAGCAAGGCAAGCAAGCTGTGACGGCATGTTTGTCACCACATGCAGCTGTGGATGCACTGAGAGCAATGAGCAAGCACCTGTGATTTGGAGGGTGGCCGACCATGGTGAGCCTGATCCTCACGGGGAGCATGGCGACAGTGGCAACTAGTTCAAAATTAACTTGGGATCCATATCACATGCAGCTGCAACAGCGTGAACCGAGCACATCCGAGCACGATCCTTCAAGCGTTTCAATCACAGGCATTTTGCAGATAAAATCGGAAGTTGAGGCAAGCTTCATCTGACCATGCGCTCGGGAACGTTGGATCGACCTGAGCGCTACATAGCCGATACCAGCAGGCCCACTTAGGCAGAGAGCCTTAACCGTCTGCGGCGCAGACTGTCAGTTTGGCACCAGGCCAGCAAATGTAACTCCTTTCGTTGACGTGGCCCATGATGCATCTCGGTATATCTTGGCAGTGCTTTCATCTTTGCGTCTCTTTGCCATGCCAGCCATGTCAGCTCAGCTCCCTTCAGGAGTGGATTTCTGGAGAGGTGGTGATGATGTCAAGCTGGGCTGCCTACGTAAAGGCACACTGAGAGCAGCAAGCAAGCGTCCCTAAGAGAATGCTTGCGGACTACCTCTAGCTTGCCATTGCCAAGGTGATGTCGCCAGCGGGGGATCCATTCGTTGGAATCTTGTCCAGGGAGGACGTCGCAGCAAGCTTTGCCCAGGTGCGGACGGTCTTCTTTGCCAGCCACTTGCATCAAACATGCGCTGCCATTCTCTCCAGGAAGTGGCTCGCGGTTCACAGGTGGCCGTTCGCGTCAAGGAGGCTCTGTCGTGATGGCTACTGTGTCATTGTGACCCGTATCTTCAAAGAGCCTCCTTTGCTCCTTGGCCTTTGAAGGTGGACGTCTCTGGTCGGCGGCTTCTGCTGACCATGCTCAGTGCCGACCAGAAAACAGGATAGGTAGAACAGTGAGTCTTGTCACCAAGATCAGGTGAACAGTCATGCATCCACGCTTCTGGTTACGAAGCTGCAAATGTCTTCGGGACAAGCAGGATGGTTTGCACGCCTTTGCTCTTTTAATTGAACTGCAGGTGGTGGTGGTGGTGGTGGTGGTGGTGGCGGCGGCAGCGGTGGTGGGGGTGGTGGTGGTGGTGGTGCTGCTGCTGGTGCTGGTGCTGGTGCTGCTGCTGCAAAGTAGCCTAGCAGGATATTCAAACGCTGAACCCGATCCATCTCGAGAATTCTTCATGGTCCAGACAGAGGCAGTCGTGCTTTGACGAATGCCGCGCTGTTCAATGAGAAGCTGTTGCTTCGATGAGGAGCCAAGCAATGCTACTTAGCAGGAGAGCGCCATTTGGACGAGTGGAGTACATCCAACCTGACTGTTTTTCACAACAGGGCAGGTATCTGTCAGTAAGGCGGAAGCTTTAGGAGCTTCCTTATTCGGCCCTGGATGGTCAGCCATTTCGGTTCCAGCCATGCGGCGCGCCTCTACCCCCTCGGGCACTCAGGTCAGCTGCAGTTCATACTTCTGCAGCGTTTGTTGCCTGAGTTCGTGTCAGGCCGTCATGGAAAAGCCTGACCATGCGCCTGATGAGTCTGCATCCTCATTTCATAGCTGGCGCCATCGAACCTTGGTGAAGGCCTCTGCATGTCACCGTGGTTGACTTGAGGTCTAAGGCCAAGCGCCCTGGCCCATTCAAAGCTGTTCAGCCTTGGGCTGTTGGTCTTGACCTGAGACCAGGATGCATCCTGAAGCATCCATTGCATGCATTGGTGAGCAGAACAGTTTACCATGAATCATCCCAAAGTAGGTAGTTGGTCAAGGAGTCGCCGGAGAGCTTGAGCTCTATTCAGCAAGTACAGGTACAAGCAGTGCCTTTGGTAAAGTGAGAGGTGACTTCAAAAATTGAAATGCTGTCGTGGCAGCGAGAAGCAGCACCAGTTCGGGTGGAGTTGCGATGAGCATTGTGAAATATAGCGACACGTAACAACTTTGAGGCCTAGCTGGCGCCGGGTTGCTGATGCTCTGTGGTGGTGCATTCTGGCTATGGCGGCAGGCTCAAGAGGAGAGGAAAGAAGCTCAAGAACGCATCTTGATACCTTGTGCATGTGTCCAGGAGACACGTGCTCTCCACCCGCATAGCAGCTTGGACGATCTCTGTTGGGCAGCCACGTGCCTTCCGTGAGATCACAATTTGCCAGGCACCTCCTGGCATAGCCGCGGTGGCAAACAGGCGCCCAGCCTGCCAGGGATGTCCGTGGAAGCCGTGTGGAAGCCTTAGTCTTTGGCTAATGCGCAAGGTTTTCGAGGGCACGCAGGCCCGAGTGTTTTCTGAGCCGGCGCCAGAGCCAGAGCCCGGAGCTTTGCTGCATGCGCTTTGGCACCGTTGACACCTTGCTAACATCCGTGGTAAAAGCAGAACGGTAGACTGAGGTCTGACTCTCTCGAGGACGCCGAGATCTGAGATCTGAATTCCAGTGCATGCGCGGTGGTAGCGCAGGAGCAGTGTCAAAGCAACGCGCCCACTACAAGTATGCGTTTTGATTCTGCGTAAGGTTCTTAGCAAGCTGGAGGGCAGCGATGACGCGGCAGTGCCACTGCCCCGAAGATCTCTAGCCACGAAGTCTAATCCTAAGCTGCCCTTCCTTCTGAAATCGCCTGGCCTCGCCCTCCACCTTACAGAACATTGCCACTGATTGATGCCAGGAAGGAAGAGAAGAGGGCCAAAGCAAAAGACACAAAGAGCAAAAAGGAGAGCTCCCCCCAATTTGCTGTCAGGCACTTCGGTGTGTCATGAGCCGTTTTGTAGGCCGGCGTGCAGCAAGCAGAAATCGATGACGAGAAAGCCAAGGCAATTATAATTCTGCATAAAACCGTCAACCGGATTCGATTCCATGCTCAATGGGAGGTTAATTTTCCCGCCCCCCGACCACTTACGATTCTAAGTACCTACCCCGAATCAAGTTTGGGAAGCGTTGTTTGGAGGGGAGTCTTGGAGGATTTCTTCTGGCTTGCAGTTTAATTAATGTGTGCCACAATTCCGTCTCTGCTTTGTTGCTGTTCTGTACGGGGCAAAAGTTTCGCTCTATTCCGCACCCTTTTCCATCAGGGTAGGTGTGCATGCATGACTGAACTGCTTATGAAACGAGATGCAGCCCAGTCCCCAAATGCAGGAAGTCATTCGAGATACCCTGAAAAAGCTAGAGGAAGACGGCCAACCACTCAGACGTACTTCGCAGAGACATAGTTTTGAGTTGACGTGCCAATTGCAGTATTTGGAGGGAGGGTCGATTTCAGAGTTTCTGAAAGAGGTCACCCTGCATTCACCTGTCGTCTGCAATCCGAGGACAGGGTGGCAAGAAAGGCAGCAAAACCAGAAAGACAGCTGGCTGCCAAGCTTTTGTGCTAGTCAAGTCATGAAACAGCTCCTTTCTGAATGGGACTTCTGCCGACAGCATGGTTGCGCTCTCCGTGCATTCGGCATGATTGCAGACTTTGCAGCGTGCCAAAGCTACGAGGTAGAGAAGCTGAAGGCCCTTTTGGGCGAGGCCTGGGAGTCCAGAGCCGTTGCGAACCATTGTTGAGCTCTGTCGAGCTCATTTTGTTCGAGCACGGGCGACATGCATGTTGCAGGTGGATGAAGAACCAGAGCCACAAGAACTCTCAGATGATCAGCAGCCCTTTCCCGAGCAATGCTGCAAAACAGGGCTGCTGGAATCAGATGCCTAGGTAGCCATTTCTGGTGCCCAGATGAGGTCACATATGGACTTTGCCAAAGCTTTGCAAGAGGAACAGAAACGAAAGATTCATGTGGAGATGAAGACTGTCAGGAGATGTAGCCTGAGATGCAGCGGATTCCAGCCCTCAAAGAGTCTTTCCGAATCTGTTTCCAGGAGTGAGTTTAAGCGCGACTTTGGTACCGACGCCCGGCCACTGCTTTGCAGTGGCTGCAAGTTGGTCGCCTCGCGTCTGAGCAGTGAGCCTCGACCTCAGCGGGCCGTTGGCTCACCTTGGCTTGCTTCTCCGGAGCAAGGTTAGATACGCACGACGTGCACGAGCAGGACTAGAACTAAACAGAACTACTCTTGAGCTTGTGAACTAAATTGACTTCAGGAGAGCCCTGCGCAGATGCTGGCAGCAAAGCGCAGAGCAATTGACTCCACATGCAGCAGTTTGCGCCACCTGCAGGCCAGAAACCAAGCTTCACTGGGTTGCAAATGCCATGAAAGGCCGTGTGAGCCTTGGGCCGTGTGAAGGCGGTGAAGCCCGCAGAGGGTGAGGGCATCGCTCGCTTCGAGGCCAGCGAGGCGCAGCCAAAGAGAAAGCAGAGAAAAAGAGAAGAGAAGCAAATTCATTCAGAGTGAATTACTCTTTGAGTGCTCATTTTTATGCTTTTAATGGTGCTGCGTCAATCCTCATCCTAACTTGAGGTGACCGGCGAGGGAGAGCGTGAGGGCAAGCGCCTTTGTCAAAGCCTGAGCTTTGCATCGATTTTTCATTTGCTGTAGCTTCAGCGAATTCTCACTCTACACACGAGAACTTCTAGGGCCTAGAAATTCCACGGAGAGTCTTGGCCCAGGTGCCGCGATCTTGGAGGAGTCGCGGTTCGACATCCTGGCTAGGCCTCTCAAATCTTGCTTAAGAGACCATGGTATAAGGAGGGCTTCATCAAGGGTGCTTACGATGTGATCAATGAAGGCTCATCCAGAGAAAGATCCCTGAGATGCAGCATCTTGCAGGTGGCAGGCACGACTGATATTTCATGTTCTACTGTCTTCCAAAGCTTGTACTTTCCCTCATCTTAAGAATCCCAGACACCTGCAGCAAGGACCGGCCACAGCAACTGGGAGCGATGGCTGTGTGCGGAGCGTATGCGCTTGTGTCTGGCGCCCAGGGTGCTTATGGGGAACAGCTCAGGACATGTTGACGTCAAAATCTGTTACGAATGTTGTGGTGGCCAAGGCAAGCGCAGTGAGGTGAAAGACGAAGAGGACGACGAAATTGAGCAGGACCTTTGACTACTTTGACTGCCAAATGAGGAGCAAGCGAGTTTCTCAAGATTCGGATTGCTCTTTCGAGCCTCTAGCTGTTCTAGCTGGCCAGTTCCTGCTGCCTTGTCCCCAAAAGCAAAATCTTGTAGGGCATTGCAGTGTCGCGATACAAAGATACAAAATAGACTGAAAGTTGCCATGAATTTGGGGTAACACAAGCAGGGCCGAGCCAGGGTACCCCAGCAGCTGCGCAGTGAAGGCAACCAACAAGCTGTTGAACTTACCGCTTCTTGTCGTGCCAAATTGCCTTATGTGCATGCGCATAGTCACTTGTCAATGGATGCTGCCATTTGTTCTCTGGCTTGTTCGAAGGTTTATGTTTCGCTTGATGGCTTGCGTAGAGCGTGCTTTGGCGCATAAAGATGCGTGTCACCTGCTGCATGGAAGAGCCAGTCGTGTGCGGCAGGGTCCAAATTAGCATGTCGGCAACGAGCGTTGTGCTCAGCTGCATGCATGCGGTTCACATAGCAGACAGGCCTAGTCTCGAGAGATTTCAAGATGTTTGTTAGTGTTGGACTGCAACATAGGCATTGCAGCGACAAATCCACTTCAAGCCAGCAGCCTTCCATCGAAGTACTGCAGTCTTCAATAAGCCAAATCTCGTTTGGCCTGCACATGGCCACGCGTCCTGGAGATGGAGCGATGCCGGCCCATGCCTTGAATAGACTCTGGACAGCGAAAGACATTCAAGATCATTAAAGTGTGCTCAAGGCCGAGCGATTGGCCTTTTTGCGTCGCTCCCTTGCCCGGGTATCTCAGCTGCAGTCAGAGCTGGGGCATGTTGCGATGCACCTTACCCTACTATGTATATTGCTAGGAGGAAAGACCTCGACGTGTGTACCATGCTCATGTGGTGGATATGAGATGCTGTTGAACCCAAGTCATGTTTTTAGAGGCCCGCGCCCAGAGCCAAGAGCATGAAGCTCAGCGGGCTCAGCGTGAAAAGGCCTTGGCAGAGGCGCAACCTGCAAAGAGGAATGTTTTGAGAGACGTTCCGGACTCACTGGCCAGAGTCACTGGATGTTGTGAAGGCTTACGCGCAGAGACGCGAACAACAGGCCGCGGGCTTGTGGATCCTCCTATCATATCCCTGCCCCACACCACTCGCTGCGAGGAGCACTAAACAGAACCTTATGACACATCTGGCCACGACAGTCTTGTCGCAGATTCCAAAGCCTGCAGCTATGCTTGCTCATTGATCGAAAGGTTAGGTCAGCTCCTGGATGCTTCAGCAAGAGTCTGGTCAGGTATGGTCAGGTCAAGGCAGTGCGTAGAAAGACAAGACGCAGCCACTGCCACCAGCACCAGCTCATGACCTTGACATAAATACGAAGTAGGCCCGAATTGCAAGCTAGGATTCCAGCCAATGACAGAGATTAGGACAAGCAGAAGGCAGTGGGATAGACCCCTGCCAGCATCCGCAGCGAAAGATCACCTCCACAGTCTGCGACTTGAACAGGAGACACAGGATCCGCGGAGAAGTCGCAAGAGGAAGAACATATGAGTCCGATGCCACGCAGACCCTAAAACCATAAGAAGCCATAGAAAACAGCGAGAGCATCCGCTTTGGGGTTTTGGAAGGCACGACGGCCAAGCCCGGCCTGTGCCGCCAGGCCAGAAGTAAAGCGTGGGTTTAGCTAGGCGGGCGTGCATGGTCCATGACGGCCAGGCCGAACCTTAAGAACTTCTGGCTCAAACCCCCAACCCCAGAGGCAGTCAGCTCTCCCCGGTAAGACGAGACGACGAGAGGGAAAGTCGTAGCAGAAGTCTTCTAAGGCAGACGGGAAGCAGTTTCGCGCCAGCGCAGCCGGTAATGCAGCAGCAGCAGCACAGCGATCAAATTAACGACGTTACTCCATGTCCGAAATATTGTCACGCCGCCTATGTTTTCAGGAGCAGAAATCTCCTGGCTCAGACGGATGTGAGGACTTCCCTAGAACCCCCCCCCCCCTACGCAGCACGCCCCCCCCATAGCTTGTAAGGGATAAAAGAAAATTGTTTTCACCCTCTCTGTTTCCGAGACCATCCAATACCACGGCCCCAACATACACCGGAAGAGCGTAAAAGCAACCAAGAGTCAGGACCCGCTCAGTAGGAAGTAATAAGCATAGCCTCAGTAGCCGGAAGCCCTGAGACAAGTAGGCAAAGAAGAAGACTGCAAAACGAAATAATCATGCCAGCTGAGCTGGAGCTTCTTGGATGGTTGGTGGTGAAGAAGACCGGCGGCTTCATCCAGCAATCTACGAAACAACGAATGCCATCCGCAAACAATCAAACAAGGTCATTGTACACATGCTGCATTCTAGAGTGCTGAGCATTTGCTGATGTGAGTGAGTGCCCTGACCTGCTCAGTGCGGGATGCTGGAGGGTTGCAAAAAACAGTCATTGTGAACCGATGACCAGTCTGGTGAAATCTCCCTTACCACAGGCCGTGATTGTGCAAGCGCAAGCATGCAGCAACAGTAGCTTTGGTGCCAGCTTTTGGCATGTATACATTTGCAGATCGCCCAGCGGCGGGAAGAGCGTCAAGCAAGGCTTCATGAGCTGCAGCAGAAGGCCACCTTGTTTTGCATGCTTGTAGATGCGGAAGCATAGGCAAGATTCTTCTCTCTGGCTTCTGAAGTGTACACGCATGTCTTTTAAAATAAACCGATGCCTGCCTCTGGGGCCGTTGCTGGCTCCTCCTCTTAGCTTTGCCGTCAGAGGCTCGTCCACCACCGCGCAGTCCGGAGCTGGAAGCCGAGAAGGCAAGGCATTGCGGCGCTTGGGCATCCTCAAGTGCCGACTTGCGAATGATATCGAATAGTAATTTAAGCCTGAGGATCCAGAGGTTTCGGCCCTTCTGGCACAGCGGCCCTCTCTCAAAAGGCGGTTGAGGCCGGCTTTGCAAGGGGTCTGGAGCTCTGGCACCAAGCTGCCTTGAGGTTTTTCACCTGCGCAGATTCAAGTTCACAGCTTCGGGGCGCTAAGGTCCTCTCCCCTCGCTCAGCGGAAGCCAGCTCGCCACCATCATCTCCAAGGCTACGGGCTATGACACCAAGACCAGGGCTTTGAGCGACAAGCAGCGGCGTTTGCTGACGTTCCCATGCTTCATACTTGGGGGCCAGGAAGCCAGCAGTGCCTAAGCCTCCACCTCAACGGGCAGCTGCCCGACCACCCGAGGAGGCTGTTGCTTCACTAGATTTCGCTTGTGGCTCGCGCCTGAGCTTGGATTGACTTAAGAGGGGCTATTTCGACTCTACTGGGACATGGAAGGGCCTAGTTAGCTTGAATTCCCGAATGCTTTGTGCAATGAAAAAGTTGCGGGTGCATGTAATCGTCCTCGTCTGCATCTTGGAATGGTGCAGCTTTTCCATCCCGAGCAGAATCAAATGGCCAGGTTATGGCAGTTAATCAAAAGCCTGGAAGTCTTCCTCTGGCTGCAGGCTCCATCGGCCCAGCAGCCGCAAATGCCGAGGAAGGACATCCTTTTGCAGTATGCTCTTGACATAAAGCTTTTCTAGTCACCCACTGTATACGACAAATCAGTCATCTAGGGTGATAGGAGCATCTGCGCGCGACGCAGCACCAGCTGCTGAACTCGCCTGCGTCTCAGACTTTGGGCAGCCTTTGGGCAAGTAATAAGTCGTGCAGCCGATGAGCAGCCGCCGTGTGGCTTTCATGCCGCAACTTGCTGACAAGATAAGGACAAGGCCTCCGACGTGCGTGCATGTACTTAATTTCCCAGACCTGTTATCGTTCCAATTGGTGTTGCATGTGTTGAATAGTTTATCGGATAGTTTTCTCATAATCACAGCGTGCCTACCTCCATGGCTGAGCTGGTGGTTTCTGGTGTAGCGGCTCTGTCATGTCTGTTGAAATGTGCCAGCTGGAGACGACATAGAGTGACATAGAAGCTGAAGATTGCTGCGTCAGATTGGTAGCAGATGCCTCCATGATCATCTGCCCATGATGGGATTGTATTAGCGACTCGTGGGGCAACTACTCTTCGATGCTCTGTTCTTATCAGTCATATTCAAGTGAAGAGCGGCATCAGGTGTGGCGTGGTGCTCTACAAGCAGCAGATGAAGGCAAATCAGCCTGGCACACGCGCAGCTGGGAGCAAGCCAGTTGCCAGAAACAAACAATGGTTAAACGGTCAATTTTTGGAATGCAGGCGCACTTTCGGCGAATATTGGAGGCTGCAAGAGGCTCAGTTTGGTACCTGCGCTGCAATAATGCCCACACCCGATGATCCCGCATGACATCGAGGTAGAGGTTGGCTACGGTGCCAGCGCCGGCCACCAGAAGATGCTCGCCAGCAAGCTATCAATACAGGTTCTTGGAGTATCCAGCATTCACAGTCGACGTGCCTGCAAGCCCAGGAAGATCTTATCCAACTTGGCAAGGCCTGGAACATCTACTGAGAAGCAAGCGTGCAGCTCTCCATGTTCCCAGGCCAGTCTCGACAGACACACATCAACACCGCCGCGCGTGAAGACGCGAACTCAGAAAGTGTGCGCGATTCTTTCTGTCCAGAAGGAGGCATTTGCGTGTTGCTGCCACAGCTTCCAGGACGTGCTCCCCTGTTAATCGGCCTTCGTTGGCTAGAGTGGAACACCTTTTGTGAGATTCAAGACGTGACGAAGGAATTGCGCACACTTTCGCTGTGGACCTCCTTGGTTGAGCCAAATGTGTCCACCCACCAGGATTGTCTAGAGTCTAGATGTAGGCTTGAGCTGTGGTTGCACCAGTCATCTCCAAAGGAGGTGATGTAGCATTCGACGGCAAATGGAGAGAAATATTGTTTCAATTCTGTCTGTGCTGACAGTCAATCATTTGATATGCAATGCTCTGTGATGCTTTGGATCTTCCCGCTGCAAGCGTTCTGCGAGGCAATCTTGCCCATAGGCAAATAAGAACTGCTGAGAAGCATAGCCGGAAACAGTAAAGCCAGCGTGTTTGTTGTGTACTTATACAAAAAGTCACCACGCAGTGTGTAGCAGCGCATCAGTATGTGTAAGCACCACTTGAAGAAAATACATGCAGCAGACCCCCCACCCAAACCAGCAGCTGACTACACCAGCATTTTGACGCACACTAAGTTGATCACCTCGTAGCAGCCGATGTGACAGACAAAACATAGCATCTCATCCTTTTAAGTGGGCTGTGTGCCCAAGTTCTGGCGCTAAGACTGCCATCTGTCGCGGAGCAGTGGTGCAGCAGCCAGGTGCCCGAAATTCGAATGCAATGGTAAATCTCATTAATGGATATTGTGATTTCGCACTTCTTGGTCATAGAAACGCACACGTTGGCCTGGGGCTACACAGATTTATGTTTGAGCTCATCAGTCGCCAGGCTGACTTTAACGATAGGGTGTCTAAACAATCAGGGAACCTGTGCGGCAGCTTAGACGAAGCTTTGAGTAGCGCACCCTTGCAGTGGTGCGGAAACACCAGTACAGCTTTGCCACCCAAGTGTGCCATGACGACTCATCGATGTCATCTCTGTGCAGGTGATGGCAGTGCCCAACCAGGGCACCTGTGAGTTGCTGAGGACGTGCTGGTGCTTCTGCAATGACAGCTTGCACGGTGAGATTAACCCTGCGAAGGGCCTTTATTAACCCTGATGCTGCAACCCGAACTGCCGCTGAAGAGCGGCTGAAGGAAGCCATCAAAGGCAGAGACTTGTTCCACAAGAAGGGAGGTTCAAGAAGGAGCCTCGTGCAGGTGCTCCCAATGAGCTTGTCAAGGAGCTCTTAGCGGTTCTCCTCGCCTTCGGTGAGATCTTTGACTTGGCTTATCTTGGCTTCAGCTTGCCTCGGAAAAGCATCAGACGTCTTTCAGGAACGGTGCCCCTCCAGAGCTTCGGTCAGAGGCAGTTGTGCTTCTCAGGTGCGGGAGAGCTTCCATTGCCTTTGCATTTCCTTGTGATTTGCTGTCCCATCCTTTGCCCCTTTGACCAGGCAGTGTGCCACAGAGAGTAGCTCTCGTGCCTGTTGGGAGCAGCTGGAGCCAAACACAAAGCAGGTACCAGACATTTGTATACCGTATACCTAACACTCTGCAGCGGTGAAGCAAACACGATGCAAACAGGCAGTTCAGGAGCAGATCCTCGTGTCTATGACGAAGGACGCCTCAATCACCTTCATTCATCAATCAGTTGACCTTGCCTGGCTCGTGAGGATCCTTCCAACCCAGTGAGGCGACAGGCTGGCCACGTTGTCAGCACCATTGCGAATTCTGTCGCTGAAAACTGTGAAGAGCTGATGAAGGCCGGGTGGCATAGTTAGGCAGCCACAGCGGCAGTGTGCCAGTGTTGGATTTTCCTTTCTCTGTTCATGCTAGGCATGGCCGCAGCTCCTGCCCTTTCTGTCCAGCACGATCAGCATTGAGCTTACCTACGCGGATGTTGGCTGAATCATCTTAGCTGCAGGCACCACATGTGCACGTGCACTATTGCGGACATGTTTGAGTGTCTGAGGCGCTGGATCAGATGCCAGTCAGGTAACCGCCTGCTTACAGGCAGTTATCTTGAGATGGCCATATTGTTCGCTCTCTTGGACATGTAGAATGCTGCTTGCAACCAGGTGCTGCAAGACATGGTGGAGCTAGTAGGCGAAGAGCTTTTGACACAGGGGCCGCAGGCAGTGGCTTGACGGCATATATTACGGTGTTCAATGTTGTTTGTCATTCTGACGGTGGGTTTGAGGTAGCAATGCTGCAGACCTGTCTCAACTCCTCGCGCGCAGAGGCTTGCTACCTTCTTGCTGTTTAAACCTCGTTTTCGCCGCTCTGGCTGGTACTGTGGTTTCAAGTGTTGGCTTTGGGATGATATCTTCGTTATGGTTTGCTGTGCCACTGGCCTGCTCATTGCCAAAATTTGCGTGGACTAGCAGAGGGTGCAAGCAAGGGGTGACGACCCAGCCAATGGACACATGCACTCCGCAAGCACCTTTGCAAACACCCTCGCAACACTCGCAGAATGTTGCAGAATGAGACTCCAAGCGCTGGGGCTGACAGGCCCCAGGGCCAGCCGAGCGACATGGGCCATCTGATCTCTAGCTGGCTTCTCACATATATGGTACAATGTCCCCCAGTGCAGGTTCAGGCAGCGGCTGCGCAACTAGCTTTGGAGATGGCAACTTGACTTGAAGTACGTACAACTTTTATGATGGTTTTGGTGGGTATATTGGTGAGTGCGCGTACCTACGATTTAGTCTGTCCAAGCATCTCATACCCTAAACCCCGACACCCACAAACATTCGAGTTTAGGGTGCAGGGTGCACTCTAAACATCCCTGAGCGCAATCAATGAGGGCTTTCCAAAATTACGGGTCCACTTTTGGGGGGCGGAGACCGTACAAGATTGTTGACTTGTATTGCTGATGCAACGTGTCATAGAAGCCTGAACTGCATTTGCGCGACCGAGTGAGGTCCCCCGGACTAAGGATGAGTTTGGCTACACTTCCGTCTTAGCATTGGTAACAAGACATTGCTCTCGACATCTCTGACTTTTGTCACATGCACAGCATGGCAGATGCCAAGGTAGCGGATTTGGAGAAGGACGTCATCAAACCTTTAGGCTGCGGGCCGAGATGAACCATATTGGGTCTTTCAGCACGTACGTCAGCCTGTAGTGGTTCTGTGAATTATATTTGTCATGCTGAGGTGCCCTTATGCCCAGCCTGTTGTCGGTGATGAAAAGCTTCGCAGTAGCCTCCGATCACGAAGAAGCTTGGCTGTCACTGACTTCTGTGCCACAAGCCATAAAATTATTATATTCGTCTTCTTGTTAGAGCTTTCTTGAAAGAAGCAGCTTCTGCAGGAGCTTCTGAAGGAAACTCTGGAGTCATTGATCTCAGCCGCTGATGAGGCAAGGTTTTATAAGCTCCTTCTACGGTCTCAAACTCTCCAAGTGTTGGCAGGAGCCAGAGTTCTTCAAGGAGAATGGCCTACAACAGGTGTGGCCGCTGCTGCTAGAGATGTGCATCCCGCCTTGAAGTAAGACGAGCTGGCCGTGATCATTGCATCCTTCTGCAACTTCCAAGACCAGAGGCAAGGCTGACAGACAAACCCTGGCCGGAAGCAAGCGCTAAGGCCGTGCTGATCATTGGGGTGATGCCCAAGTCCGGCACAGTGACCAGACTGCATCACGGACACGCTGTGCGAACCTGTTGGCAATTTCAAAGTCAGCTTTCGCAATGAGCATACATGACGGATACCGTCAGCAAGGCCAGCTGGATATGGAAGGGTACTAGGCATCTGGAGGTGTGTACACAGAAGGCACAGGAATTTGTTAGTAAGGTGCCATGGAAGCAGCGATGTCCTTCTTCGAGGGTCTCTGCGAGGATTTCTGCAAAGCTGAGGCCAGCCTGTGTGACCTTTGGGAATCTAGGAATCTCTAGGGATGTAGAGGGGCTACAAAAGGATTGTAGTGGTCCCTCTTGCGATGTTGGTGTGAAAGCACTTGGCCAGGGGCAACCCTTCCTGGAGCAGCTCATCTTGCTCAACCTGGAGTGGATGTTGGAGGTCGAGGAGAACGTGGATACCTGGATTGCCGGCGCAGACCAGGACTGATTTTTGCTGCAGTCTGATGCGCGAAAAGCATGCGCATGTCTCAGCTTTCACACGGTCCTGAGATGCCCTTTCGCTTTGAGAAGTCTTTGCTGGGTAGCTTTTGGAGGAAGAGGAGGACATTGATGAAGACCTTGTCGACATCGGTGAAGAAAACATGGATCGACTGGCCCAGCAGTGTGCTGAAAAAGAACCCTGGGCCGTATTCAACTAGAACCGATTATCCCGAAAGCAATCAGTTCGACGGAAGGCATGGACGTATCTGGCTGTGTTCTAGATGCTGCAGTTTGTTGGTGCAGTGTAGCTGCTGTGATGTGGGTGTTGTGTAGGTGCTGTGGCTTTTGGTGCGGTGTAGGCGTCTGGTGAGAAACCTTAGAGCTAGAGCACGACATTCCCACAACTTTCCATCGAAGAAGTTCCCCTTCGAGCCTGGGTCATGGCCCTTGGTGATGCAAAATGTAGCCAAAGCCCGCGGTTCATCGCTACGAATCAAATAGAGGCGGGTGTAGGTTCTCTGGTGTACGTCGTGCGGCGTGAGAATTCAGAGAACGTTCCACGCGCCGGCGAGCCCACACGCTGAACACAGCCAGAGGGTCGTCGATTCCAAACGGAATTCTCGGGACGCTGCACGCGCCAGCGCTGCCACCCGCCCAAAACAGCGAGAGGGTCGTCGATTTCAAAGAGATTTTGCAGGATTCTCCACGTGCCAGCGAGCGCTACCGCGTGTTCCACAAGGAACTCGCAAGAAGCTTCGCGCGCCGGCGCTGCCAAGAGGTTCGTCGATCCCAAGTAGAACTAATTCTCAAGACGCTCCACGCGCCAGCGCTCCTTCATGCCGAAACAAGGAGAGGGGTCGCCGGCGAAGTTGTGAATTTTCACAGCGCCACAGCGAGAGCGTTTCGACACGCACGATCCCCCCAGAGGGTTTGCCGGCGACCTTGAACATTCGCACGGTGCCACAGCGAGAGCGTTTCGACATGCGCGATTCCAGCAGAGGTGTGCATCCCGCCTACCCTCGCCGAACCCATCCCAGGCTAAGAAATAAGATAGAATACAACAGAGGCGGTGTCGGTTCTCTGGTGTACCAACGTGGTGCGGTGTAGCGGTGTAGGGGCTGCGGCGTGGGTGGGCGGTGTAGGTGCTGTGGTGTACGTGGTGCCGTGTACCTGCCGTGGAGTATGTGAGCGGTGTAGGTGTTGTGGTGCACTTGGCGCAGTGCATGTGAGCGGTGTAGGTGTTGTGGTGTAAGCAAGGCAAGCTTTTTTGATGAAGAACCCTTCGTGATGCTTTCGGGAAAAATGTGTACAGAAAGCTCTGAGTTTGGGCTCTTGCTACGCCTGCATGAGAGATCTATGTGGCCATACCTTTGTCATAAGGAGATTCTGACATTTGGTTTCTAGTTCAGGGTTGCAGGTGGCCAGTAGGTGACCATTTGTTTTCCTTGAGGGGCAAAATCAGCAGGCCTTGAACGCACTATTCTTCACCTGTTCAAAGAAATTCACAACGCACTCAGAATTCAATCAGCGACGAAATGGCATTTGAGATCTAGGCATACAGGATGAAGAAATAAACATGTATGCACATAAGCTACTGTACAGTCTAAACTTGACGGGGTTATATAGGGGATTATCCAGGGGAGTATTGTAGGGGCTACTAAGGGGGATACTAGGAGTTTAGACTTGTTTAGTCACATGGAGAGCCAAGGATGCCCTGGAGGAGGCCTTCATGCCCACTCTCTTCAAGGTTCTTAGAGCAGAGCTTTGGCTGGTAAACAAATGTGGGGGTTCCCATAATTAGGGCACCATTTCGGGGGGGTCCCCATAATGAGGATTATAATGTATCGGGGTCTATAGTGGGGTCCTCCTATTTTGCGGAAAGTGCCATGTTTGCAAAGAAATGCAGCCCGCATGTAACCCTCGTGCAGAGTTGTCAACTCTGACATTGTACATGTCTTGTCACGGCAAGATCAGCACTACAACAAAGGTACAAGCTGCACCCACCAGCTCCTGGAAGCACACAAGATCCTGCGTCATGGCGGTTTCGCAGGCACGGGCGTGCCCGCTATTACTTTCTCCATGTAGGCGACCTGTTAAAACAGGGAGGGCTGTTCTATATTGTGTGTAAAAGCTGCCTGCTCAGAGTGAACTGATGCATCTGCAGATCCGTATAGAAACAACACAGGTGGGGCAATAACGACACGAAACCAATCAGCAACAGCCCCAAGCTGCCCAGCACTCCAGCTGCTGCGCTTTGTACCTCAGTTTGCCCATCAAGTGAGCCATCAAGCAACTACTTTCATCCGAATGGCAAGTCTGTGCCCCCATGCAAGCGAAAAGACTCTATAGTTGTAGGTCCAGGTAGTTGGTAGAGCGCGTGTCAGAAGCCCTGGAGTTTCGGCTAGTTTTTAGGATTTTTCTGCATTTAGGTAAATGAACCTGGTCGCACGCAAGGCGCTTCCGCTTTCCTGCCCAAAGCCTAACATGGCTAATTGCTCCGATCACAAGAGCATCCATGCCCAAACCAAAATACCGTCCATGACTCCTTGCATCTGATCACCAGAGCAGCAGATAATCCTGGGGACAATACTAGCAGACAAATCTTTCAAGACAAGAACGCTGTCACTCGCCCGCACTGCCCGAACAGCCTGGCCCGGTTCGGGCAGTGTGGGTAGGTGCGGGCAGTGCGGGCAGGTTCGAGCGGGTGGGCGGGTGAGGGCGGTGGGGTCCGGAGTCTCGCCGGGGTCTTTTCACATTCTAAAGAACTCCCTCTGGGGAACAGATCTTTGCTTTATCCTATCAAAGCAGGTGAGCACAGCTTGCTTCTGCTTCCTTTTGCTTCCCTTAATGGGACCTTACTCAAAAAGTCTACATGCCCACTGATCCCCATAAGGGCCCAATATGTACGTACCTTCTTATACAATACTCTAATAACATGTCAAGTGGCCAATGCAAGGCTCAGAATCCCACATTTCAAATCCCAAACTGAGTGTAACAGGGCGTATGCACGGGGTCCCGTTAACCGGAACATGCATTGCGCGTTGTTAAAGGGGATTACCTATGGAGTTCCCGGGAATATCATGATTTTAGGCTGATGTAGGGATTATGTGGGTCTCACAGGGGGGCTCATGTGGGGTTAGTAGCTGTTGTGAGATCTGGTCCCGCAGCACTCCACAGCGTTACGGCCGCACGTTCCGAGTAACATGGTGTTGACACAGTATTACGAGGCTTGGCTGGCAAAAGCAGAGCTCTCTTCAGGTTCATCTCATGCAGATGTGTGCACATAGGCTAGCTGTACTGGAGAAGTTGTAAAGCAGCTCTGCTGAGCCTAGACTGCACGGTGGCATAGAGAGGTACACGCCCCTAGTCTGAGCACCTGGCCCTACCCAACAGCTACCTGCAGGTTGTGGAGTACATTCAGGAGGAAGCCTGGGTGGACCAGCATTCTGGATGCAGCCAGTACTGGTTTTTGGCGTCTTTGTTGCGTTTGTCCACAGCCAACTTCCTTGATCACCAAGACCCTAGCCAAAGGCTCGCGCATACTGATCTAGAGCAGTGTGCTGTTCCGCTTTGCATCATTTCGTACCGTACCAATCAACTTTCCCATGCTGTGGGCAGATGCATGAAGCTGCACATGTTCATGCTCAAAATTGACAACAGGTCCCAGTTGAACATCATGCTTCATACAGGGGGCTTACGTCCGATGGAAACAAGACAAAGACATGCTGGGGCAGCAGTTTTTTCCTGCCGGGATTAGTCGCTATGTTGTATAGACAGTTTTGAGTCGCATTCTATGGCTTGCTATGGCTTGTGGTCAGCCCAGGTGTATAGAGTTCTTGGTCCCCCACACATCACACGCGCATCCTCGTGTCCGATATTCTGCCTTCCAAGCTGTCGGGCAAACAGCTTATGATCATGATCCCTATGTTGCAGAGAGCCTGGGTTGCATGCTTGTGTACTTCCAGAAAGCCATTCTCGCTTTTGCGGATTATGCACTGTTTCTTCCTGGAATTGAAAGGAATCATGCCGAGACCTTGCTACCATTGATACTGTTGCGGCCTCAGCTGCCTTCAGCCCAGGGTGTTCCACGGCCAAACGAGAAGTCGATGATAGATGTAGGCCGTAGGCTGGAGATGATCTGAGGGGGGGATTAGATGACCAGAACATCCGGGTGGCAACCAGTGCGGCCAGTGCGCTGTCCAGCATGGAGGAGCCTCCAATTCCGCATTGCATGGCAATGAGAGAGCTTTGCAGCAGGACATGGATGAGGAAGATCTGGAGCCTCACATGGAAGCTTTGCCACTTGCCAGAATGCTGGTAAGAGCTTCGTTGCCTTCTAGAACTTCTTCGCATAACTTCCGGAAGCTGAGTCCAACCTGCCGGAGACTCACATGAACCAATAGGCATTTGCAACCTAAGGATGACGAAGCTTTTCACTCGTCTGGAGCAGGGCCAATCCCAGGCAATGCAGGAGACTTGCCTCTCAGTTACTTGGCCAGCAGAACCCAAAGTTGGGGCTGGTTGGCCCGCGCGCGTCGATGCAGCCGAAGGTACAACCCTACTTGTACGATCTTCAAGCACAACTGAGGCCATTGCAGTCGTTGGTGAAGCCGCGTCTGAGCTTTTCCTGCCCTACTATGGGCATGTCATGCACCTGGGCTTGTATAGGCACAAGACTTGGCCGCAACTTTGTTTTTGGGCTACAAGTTTTCAAGTCTCTCAGTGGAACATAGCTCTCGGGGATGTGCAAAGCGCTTAGGCCTGCTTTGAAGCAGCTCATTGCTAACTCCTCCAAAGCCGAGCAGAAGAGCCTCCGTGGCAAAGCCTTTGAATGTGCTCGTCCCAGAAGCTTCGATTGCTGATTGCGATCTGCCTGTGCTCGGAGTTGTGCGTTGTCTGGTCGCCACCTGGAGGTGCCAGCCTTCTTGGAGAAGGAGTTGGCAAGGACCCTGCCGGTTTCCATTTGTTTCCACGGAATCTGTTTGTCTAACCGCCTGCCAATGCCAAACTCTGGAGCCTCGCAGCATACCAATTAATTGCGGTCCGCTTCCGGGTCAGGAGGTGTTTGCGGCGGATGGGCATGAGATCATGCAGATCATGGTCCGGTATATCCAAGCTGGCTTTGATGCTGATGATCAGACTCGCGAATATGTCCACGAGGCCTCGGAAGTTGCCTCCGTGTTGTTTTGGTTGAAGCCCTTTACGAGCCTCTTGAAAAATGCCCCAATGTGTTGAGCCAACAAACGTTCTGTCTGTTGTTTTCCGAATCCTGAAATGGAAGCTGAGGAGTCAAAGGTATTATTCCTGATTGGGAAAGAGATTTGCTGTTCTGAATGTTGTTGGGGTAAGGTGTTGCATCCGTGATGTAAACGCAGAATGACATGAAATGGATTCGAGATGATTTGAGGCAGCTGGGCGAGTGGCCGGTGTGTTGGCGAAGGACTTCAAGCCGTATGTGCCGCTGGGCTGATGTGAAGCTTTCCATTTGGCACTGCTTAGCAGCAAACCTCACAGGTCCATATAAACCGTATAGACCATGCAACTCTTGAGGCCAGTGTTGCTGCCGAGCCTCCTGAAGGTCCTGCAGCAGCAGCCAAAAGAGGTCGCCTTGGAGGCGTACATTAAAGCATCAGTGGGGCCATTCAACGTTCATCGGGCTATTGACATCAAACGGGCCGTTTGCATTCAGCGCTGATATACATATGTATGTTCCCATCAACTATAGCCATGGTTTCTGCAGCTACACAAACACATGTACATGCATTGTCGCGCGTTCCCTCACCCCGCCCCTCGCTTGCAGTCGAGGATTTGTATTTTTTACTCGTCTGAGATCAGAAACTCTTCCCGGCCATCCTGCTGGTGTGCTCGGGGATTTGAGTGGGATTTACAGGCCAAAAATAGTTCACAATGTTTTTTAATCTTTATTGTGGGGACCCCTAAAGAGGTATCCCCCCACCCCCCCAGTTTTGGCAAACCGCCCTATAAGTCTTCAAATGGAGCAATTATCATTACTAAGGAGTCGAGTGTATTCTTGTCTTGGGATCAAACTTGACTAGCAGAGGCTGGAAAAACCACAAGAGCTGCAAACCTTTGAAGCCTCGAAGCCTCCAAGCGAAACCTCAAAGCCTCTGAAAAGCCTCTACTCTCTCGAAAACCTCACACCTGTTGAAGCCTGGAATCCTCAAGGCCTGAGTAGCTTTTGTTGATTTTCCTTGTCAGGTCTATGAAGGAGGCTCACGATATGTATGGGAAGCTGGAGACTCTCAACTTCTAAAGCTTCTCACTTTCTTTTACCCCCCGCACCCTCAAGCCTATGACTCCATAGGATTCAGGATCCCAAGGACGTAAAATGATGCAAAACAAAAGGAAGTACATGAGCCCAAGTGATTTCAGTCGGCTCCGATTGTGGTTGCATTCGATCGGCTCCGAGTGGGCTCAATCCGGGGGAGGATTGAGGCTTGAAGATTATTAGGGAGCTTTCCCAGGAATCTTGAATCTTCCACAGCCGATTGAAGCCCGGGTTCCTGAAGAACGATCCCTGGCAGTATGGCTTGCTATGATCAGAGTATGGTTGCTGTTGCTTAGTAGCGGTACGGGTACACAAATCGTTCATCTTTGAATGCAGAACCTCTTGCAGTGTGGTCAAGCAGCTTTGGGAGGAAGACGAGGAAGAGTTCACTCAAGTGCTGGCAGATGGCAAGCTGCTTGCTTGCATGCGGAATCATGCGGATCTCGGAGGACATCGGCACGCCTTTGTGGCGGTTGTGTGATGTCTGAGGTTGATAGGCTTGAAAACAGCAGTGCTAGACGAGATGGCGGAGACATTGACGCTAATAGCTTCGCTGATGGGGGTATGCATCTCAGACTGGTGCAGTCTCATTTGCAGTCATTCTGAAGACTGCAGCAAGGCCTTAGAGGAGGAGTTTGTAGAGTTCCTCCCGGACACCTGCCGGCAACTGCTGGACACCCAGTGCATGGGATGTCAGAATTGCGTTCTTTCCCTCTACGCGTCTTTTGTCTTTCCCAAATCTGCCTTCCCTCCCTCCTCCTCTGGGTGCGCGCAGTTGCTCACTCTGCTGACTCTCCTTGTCTTTGTGTTTTTGTGCTTGCCAAGGATGCCGCTTCTGGATTTCCCAGTCTCAGAAGACGTGCAGGCCGCTAGGGCAATGATGCTTCAGAAGATTCTCTCAGGGTAAGTGCTTGTTCCGTCAGGACAAAGCAAACGCGACTTGGGAACACGTTTGGTGCCTGGTGTCTCAAGCAGACTATTCTCTCCCTATCATCGAAATCTTGGGTGGTGTTTGATCCAAGCCGCGCCTGAGCTGGCCCTCAAGGTGGTTCACTGCGCGAGGACCGCTGCTGAAAACGGCAAGTGCGAGCCAATGGTTGCTGGATACTTGGATGTTGCTAGCTTCATTCAAGTTGTACTTGACAGCGCCGCATCCGTTGAGGTTGGTCAGCTTGTGGGCGAGTTCCTCAAAAATACAGCTCGAACCTGAACGTCTGACAGTGCACACTTTTCTTGTTTGGGCCTGTTGAAACATGTTGGCATCGCCTCATTGATCCATTGCTCGCATGAGTTTTTTCGACCCGGTAGCAGTTGGTGCTTGTATGTACTGAATGATCCGAATGCTAGCCAAAATTCCTGTGCAACCCTATGCCTGTGCTAGCAGCACTCCACATGATTCCTTGCTTTCTCAGCGAGCAATCGAAAGCCTGAGCATCAGCCGACCGAGGTTGCCATGATGACAAAGTTTCCAGGTGACAAAAAGGATCAGGGTCCAGCAGCACTGTCTCAGCTGCAGGCCGGAAGGGCCAGGAAGAGCCACCTGGGTTGAAGTGAGTCTTCTGTTTTGTTGCAGGGCCAGGCCTCTGCTATGGCTGGGGTCATCAAGAAGGCCTTGCGACAGCTAGACTTCGTTGAGCAATCCTGGAAAGATCTGGTCGACAGGCGGGCCGGAAGGTCCTTGCAAAGCAGGATGTCATCGACCTGGTGAAGGCCAGCTTAATGCAGTCGCGTGGAGTTCTCATCTGTTTGACAAATGGTTTCAGGTTCTGGCCATGCTGCTTACGCAAGTGAAGATCGAGGATGAGCCTGCCAGGGGCTCGGGCAGGGAGTCCAAGCGACAGACTTCATTACATCTGAACCCCTCAGGCTGAAGCGGCTCCTAAGAAAAAGAGCGAGGGAAAGGCCCAATGACCTTGTCTCTTCGATATCGACTCGTTGAGTAGTGGCGTCTCGGGGCAGGCTCATGACAGCGACGAAGAGGAGAGCGACTCTGAAGAAGGCAGATTATTGCATCCTATCACCGTCTGTTGCCGCCCTGGCAACATGAGCATGCCGGCAAGGCATCTGCGGATGTCGCATGAGCATCTGTGCAGGCTCTGTGAGCCGCCAGTCCGTCCGCTTTAGCTTGGTGGATGTCGCTGGCGCACTGATGCGTGCTAGCCGGGAGGAATTTGCGGAGGCTGGATTGAGAGCGAGAGGAGATCTGCACTTGATGTGACTTGGTCCAGTGGCAGTTGTCGATCTTTTTGCGCTTACTGCATGCTTCGTGCGCAGGGACAGGGCGTAGGTCAGGCAGCGACCCTTCAGTGAGCCATCAGGGCCTGAACACAGCCCGGGCCGGCCGGCGCGCAGCCATAGAGGCAGGAATTGAGAACAACCTTGAGCTGCACATGAACGGCCACGAGTCTCATGCTCGAACGGTAAATTTTGCAGGATTATACAGCCAAGGCGCCATGGCACAGAAGATCAGGAATTAAACAAAGGCCACGCTAGGCTGCCTACGAACCTAGGACCTAGGTGGATACGAACCACTTGCAGACAGGATTTGGGAAGCAGGTTGTACACTAGCGAGCTTTCCCAGTATCCCATGAGGCGGTTCGTCGGGAACGGACTTTGAAGCCGGAGCAGAAGACGGGGCGTCGCATTTGCTGATGAAGCAGCTTTGACAGGGAGGGACAGGGCCACACGGGCAACGGGAACAAAGTTTTGGCCAAGTCATGTACGATGCGCAAAGTACTGTACGACAATTGCAGCGGCGACGAAAACGATGAGGAAGAAAGACAAACATAACAACAACAATAATAATGAGAAGATAAGACGGAACGCCGCAAAGGCCAGCAATTAGACGTACACGATCTAGAAGGGAACGGTGAAAACCATGCGCGGGGAGTAATGTTTCGAAGTCAAAGTGTTGCAAAAGCTTGGGGAAGAGCGTTCAGATCTTGCACACAGACGGAGGAGTCGGATGGTCGAACAACGGAACGCGTGGCTCTTGCATTAGCAGCAACACTGTCTTGATTGCACCAGGTGGGCTTGACAGTCTTCATGGAGTCCGGGCCTTCGAAGCTGGTTGTGATTTGTGAGCAGCTGCGTTGGGTTCATGGATTAGATGCAATCCCAGGCTTGTGCGGCGTCTGCTGCAGAATGGCAGTGACAGTGAAAGAAGCCTTGACCCCTCATGTGAAAGTTTTCATTGTTGTGACTCAGAAGCCTGGCTGCTTGCGAGGTCTGGCCCTTTACATCGCAAATGAGGTTGTTGCGTGTTTGGGAGAGTGGCGGCCTGAGCGCGGAAAAGACAAACAAGCAGTGTCTGCGCTTAGGGTAGCAGCGCAGACAAATTGTTGAGCCTTGGCGACGCATGTAAGGGTTGGAATGAGCCCGAGTCATATTGTCATATTCATGGACGAGTTTTCCTCCTGTGTTTGATCACAGACATGCACAGCATTCCATTGGTCTTGATTGCGTACTACGCATGAGAGAGATGTGTAAAACAATGCTGGGTTGACTTCGGAACTTGTGTTTTAAGAAGGGAAGTAGGCATGTCGGCTTCAGTGAGGTTGAGTGTGCCTCATTGGAACACCTTCATGGAGCACGCATGTTCGAGCCTTGATGCAGCTGAGCACTGGGCGTGGCAGCGGTAGGACACATGCTGAGTTGCTGCTCACATTGGCTGAGAGGCAACAGCATCACCGACAAGACAGCCGTCATCAGACAGCAGTGGCCCCAACAAAGCCGGAAAAGCTAGGCGCAGCTAGGCCTGGCTGCGGCATGCAATGCAAGCTCGAAGTGCCACAAAATCCTGCACAAAACATGATTAAGCTTGAGTCCATTGTCTTGGTGCTGCCCGTGCTTATGCTCAAGGCCGCTTGACAGGTAGCCTGCGGTACCAGATGGGCCGCCGGGGCTGCTTGCTCAGGGCCTACCCGCCGTACTGAAGTTTGCCTGGGAGGCATCCTGGGTTTGATGTCGTGGTTGCATGCTCTCATCCTAGTGCCATTGGCTGGTTTGGTTTCGGCTGACCTTCCGGTCCATTGCCTGCATCATGAAATAGTGGGAAGCTGGAAGTTCAGCCTCGGAAGTCCAAGCACCCAGAGGTCTTCTTGTGGCCATCAGCGCCCAGACACACAAGAATTGCAACCGGGCCGTCAGGATCACATTGGCAAGCCGGACAGGGAACTGGTCGTCGCTTTGAAAGATCCTAATATCGCAGAGGCTGACCAGCAACAAACGGGGACTTGGACCATGGTCTATGATGAGGGCTTCGAGGTTAATATTGGCAACCACAACTTCTTTGCGTTTTCCAACTTCACGTTTGCGAAGGGCGGTGATGGGCATCATTTGAGGCAAAACATCTCCCACTGCGACCAGACCATGGTAGGTTGGTATCGGAACAAGGACCGCACACAGTTTGGCTGCTACTATGCCAGCAAGATCCTCTCTGAGGACGAAGTACGAGCGATGGCATCCACGCGGGAAGTCGTTGCAAGAACGAAGCCCAAGACTCTGCTCTACCAGACCCAGCTGTCTCATCATCACCAGCGCCAGGCACGGACCGTCCAAGACAGGAATGTAAGAGCGTTACCAGTTACCACCCTCAATGTGCGTTATTGTGGGCAACGTGTGGAAGTGCATCGCAAATAAGAGGGATGGATTGAGCTGAAGTGACTACTCCTGATCGGAGCGCTTAGGAGACTAGTCGACTCCAGAAGGGCTTTGCTGAATAGGAAAACTGTTTTTCAGGCCTGCGCGGCTTTGCACGGCTGAATCGAGCCCGCATGACTATGCTTCACATTTGGATGCCGTTCTAAACCCCC